TTTTCAGTGTTCTGATGCATGTCTGTGTATGAACCCACACAATCTCTTCGTTCATCTGGAGAGGCCCTACTCACGATCCCACCTCCGTCGCAAGCGCGATTGGTGGGGACGAGGGAGAGGGCCTTCTCGGTGGTGGCCCCTCGACTCTGGAACTCACTCCCCAAGGACATTAGGCATGCCCCAACTCTGGCAGTCTTTAAGAGGAGCCTGAAAACGTGGTTGTTCCAGTGTGCCTTCCCAGAATAAGGAAACCCTAAGCAACATGTCCCTAATCGCACTTTACTAATGATCTAGGATTGTCTGCTCGCTTCATCTCTCTCCAAATACCTATCCTAGTTATATGTCACCTGGTCATGCCCAGCATTTTTTAAAAAATTAATTATTACATTTGGCCCTGCCACAGGTTTTTAATGTGTTGTGGCATTATTGTTACTGTTTATTGCTTTGTATATGAGTTTATTTATTGTCTGTATTGCTGTTGTTGTTGTTTTTACTGATGTACTTGGGCTCAGCCTCTTGTAAGCCGGGAGATGGTGGAGGGGGGGTATAAATAAAGGATTATTATTATTATTATTATTATTATTATTATTATTATTTTATAATCCTATTTTAAATGTTTATTGTAATTTTACATTGTTTTTAATGGTATTGAATAGCTGCCTATGTTGGAGCCCCCGGTGGTGCAGTGGGTTAAACTCTTGTGCTGGCAAGACTGAAGACCGACAGGTTGCAGGTTCGAATCCAGGGAGAGGCGGATGAGCTCCCTCTATCAGCTCCAGCTCCTCTGTAGGGACATGAGAGATGCCTCCCACAAGGATGATAAAAACATCAAAAATCATCCGGGCGTCCCCTGGCCAACGTCCTTGCAGACAACCAATTCTCTCACACCAGAAGCGACTTCTGACACGACAAAAAAACTGCCTTGACTCCCCACCAGGGTTGAGAAAGGTGGGGTAGAAATGGTGTAAATAAATAAAATCAGTCTCTGGGAAATCAGGGAGAGGAGGTCAGGCAGGAGCCCAAGGATTGGCTGAACTAGCCAGTGGCAACTGGTGGCTAGCAGCGAAGTTGTGAAATGTAAAGGAGTAAGCTAGTATGCTGAACTTATTTTGGGAAAATTTAAAATTTAACTAAACTTTAGAGCAGTCTTCATTGACTGAGAGTCACCAGCCACTGGTAAGTGTCACGGTTACAGAGAAATAGATTTGTAATGTTTATAGGTATTCCTTCATTTTACGATTTTCCCATTGTTGTTGTTTGTCTCCCATTCCACCTTTGTATATGGCACCTTACGAAAGCATTCTAGTTGCTGTTGGAAATATAATAGTGTGACAATGGGGTGGTTGGGTGGGTCCAGGGGCATTTAACTCCCACTGAGTTAAATGGTGTTTTCACATTCTTAAATGTTTGCTGGACTGAGTTGTCTATCTTCAAGAGAAGGCCTAGACTATAGATGGCAAAGCAAAGCAAAGCTCTCTTCTCATAACCTTTTCAAAACTCTCTCCCCAAGTGGAATTTGATTTTTGTGTAGAGAAGTGATTACTTTTTAAAAACAAACACTAAGAAGCATTGAAAATGCTAGCAAAGCCTTTTATTATTGTGCCCTAATTGGAACAACATATTTACTCAGCCTGCTCCAGCCCCACTCAAACCTCCATTCTAAAAGTATAGCTTGAGTGCATGGAGGACACTATATGCTTTTACAACAAGATGAGTCAAATTGCCACAATCTTCCTTAATGTGATCTCATATCTGATGAGCTGAACAATGCAGGAGAAGGAGGCAGTGGCAAACTTGACTCTTTTCTGCCAAATAAAAGTGAGGTGGAAATGGAGGTCGGTGATTTTCTTGGCGATAGCGTTCTTCTTGTCAGAACAGAAGTGAAAAGGAGTTGGGCATTGCTCACAGCAAATGTATTGGGTAATTTTGTTAAGTATATGTTATTCACTGGAGCTTATCATATACAAAAAAAATAGAAGAAAGGAAAAGGAAAAACACCTTGTCTGGCTCTCAATAACTCAAAAGAATTGAAATACAGAGCACAAGCAAAACAGAAACTTTTGAAAGTTATATAAAATGGAAGGAAAAAGAAGACAAGGTCTTGATCTATGAAGAATGAGCATCCATGTTAAAATATTCTCAAAAACATGTTATACTTTGGGTTTCCAATCTCTAAGAAGCTCTTGCTCTGTTTATTCAAAATAAGGCCTTGTCAGTGCTGACACAGATTAGGGAAATTGCTTCCCAAAGAAGATTGCTAGCATGTAACATGATACAGTTTTAGTTGGCTCATTAAAGTGTGACTTTTTGACAAGATCTTTAGGGAATTGCTATAAATTTTAGTTGCACTGCCCTTGATCCCGTTGCCTATTCTCTTTTCAATGGCAACTCACATACTGGCGTTGGGTTGTTGGATACTGTTTCTCATAAAGCATTTTTCATGTCCTGATGGTGTGCCTAAGTGTTTAAAGCTGTGATTAGGAGTGAGCTCCCAACTGTTAGTCCTAGCTTCTGCCAATCTAGCCGTTTGAAAGCATGCAATGTGAGTAGTTCCTTGGTGGGGAGGTAACCCCTCATACAACATGCAGACATGCTGGCAACATGATTGGAGAAGTTTATAACAACAGGCTCATTGGCATGAAAAAATGGAACAAGAGCACCTCCCCATGGCTGGAATTGAGCATCGTCTACAGATGCCAGATGTGAAAACGGAAAGGCCTTTGCCTTATCTGTGTATTGTATGCCGTTGTTTGTGTAAAAGGCATTGAATGTTTGCCTTATATGTATACTGTACTAAAGAGG